TGAAAAATATGAAAAAAAATTAAATTAAAGGTGAAATGGCATCTGTAATTAATCGTGTAATTATTTCAGAAATGTATTCTATAGCATTATTGGCAGATATACTATAAAACTACTTGAAATTTTATATAAGCTAAGAGTTTGTTATCTATTTACTAGTACATGTATCTATCAATCAATCACATATTGCACAAGACTAAATTTTTGCTATCGAATAATTGTCTTTGTGTGTGGGTGGCCTATGGCAAAAAAAAATTAATAAACATCCAATCAACTCGTAGCTCATCTACACAAGATGAGATTAAAAGAAAAAGTTCAAAAGTTTCTTGTTTCATCATGCCATAAGCAGTTCTTCATCTACAAAATGTACTTATTAGTCTACTACATGTAGTTGGGAGCACCACACCTCACAGACCTGACTTTAGGGTTCTAGCCAGCAGCCGTTTTTCTGTCATTTGACGGAATTGTATCACTGTCTGCAGAAAGCAGAGTTTCTCCTGACCAGAAAATTTGCTAGGAACAGAGTCCAAGACAGCTGAATACAGTTCAGTATATACTTAGCAGTTTTCAAGGCTTCCCCTAACGGTAAGTGTTGAGTCATAAACTACATTTCCAACCAGCTATCCTAATCCCTGCTTCTTCTATGTATTGGGTAAGCTTCTCCAGTATTGGTGTCTGTGAGTTAGGCAAAGAGAGGCTGTTCCAGACACCAGTGTGCTAGAAGTGCTCTCTTTAGTAGCAATTACACTGAGCAAAACCTCCTTGCTACTATTATAGGTAAGGGGAAATACCTGTACCCATATACATGTAGGTACTAGTACGGTACTGTACATGTACTGTAGTAGTACATACGAAGGCCCGTAAGTACATTTGTCAACCAATTCCCACTGTTACGGTACAGTACATGTACCATAGTAGTACATACGAAGGCCCGTAGGTACATTTGACAACCAATTCCTACTGTGGGCATATGCTTGGGGCATATGTCTAGTACCTGTATACTAGGTCTACTAAAAGGTCTCATAGCTACATGTATAGCCTTTGAGGCTAAAGGGGTGGTAGGTTTTTAATTGATATGTTTTGGGCACAGTATGGAAGGCAAAACCCCTTTTCTTCTGCAGCTTTTTACCTGCAAAACTCTAGCCAGGAACCAGGTAGTGGTTATTTCCACTTACAAAAATTGGGTAGAGTGAGGAAAGTTGTGTAAAGTGACTTTCCCAAGGATGTAATATCTAGCCAGGAATTTTGGGAATCGAACCCATAACCTTACGATCTCCTGTCTACCCGACACTTGGCCATTGTCACAACACAATTTGTGGAAGTACTGTACATCTCATTCTCACAATCTTTTTGCCAATAGAGTCAGAATGAGCCAGGAAAGAGAGAACAATCCAGTATATCTTACAAACCATCCAGAGGAGCCGACAAGCCCAGATCAAAATGAAGACCCTGATCAGAATATGCTATACACTGAAAGCACTGCAAATCCAACAAGAATGTCAACATGCAGACAGACAGATAATGATGATATCCACAACCCAGAAGCCACTCATGTATATTCTGTATCTGATACGACCAAAGCTGAAATCTCTGCCATGTACATGACTGCTTCAGGGGAAAATGAAGAAGATGCTAACGCTATTGAAAACATTGACGAAGAATTTGAACCTAAAGTCATGCAAGAAGACAGTGCAGTGGCTGACGATAGTGACATGGAACCTTACGCTGTTGCAAACATGTCCGATCACGAAAACTATCTCATGAACACTACAACAGCTTGTTTTGGGCCTCACAAAAAAGAATTTCCAAACCCGATATACGAGGAAAACGTCTACCAACAGGCTTCAGATGACACTAGTCATGACGCCAATGTACATGTACACGAGGTTCGCAATCCTACAAATGCAGAGGAACATAAAAAAACAGTGAACAGACCGGATCCCTCAGATGACTCCAGGGCTGACTCTGATGTACACAAGGTTCACAATCCTCCAAACGTTAAGGAACTCCATGGTAAGGCAATGGATGTTGACCTGTTATGGCTTCACCACTATGTGGTGAAGACATATTGTTTTTCCTCATGTTTCTTCTCCTCCTTCTCCCCCTCCTGCCATTTCTTTAAAATTGATTCAATGTAAAGAATTGTTTTCCCTTGTGTTTCTCTTTCTTTCCCTGCCATGTTGTAAAATGTGGTAAAGCCATCCGCTACATTTGCTCCAAGGCAAATGTCGGCCTTTCTAGTTTTGTTTCATGACAATGAGGTCCAGCTTGTGGGAAGATGCTATAGTTAATTGGTCCTGCGCATTGAAACCTATGCAAAAACAGGCAAAACAAGTAAAATCTGAGATTTTATACCTCCGGCGCCGCAGGACTAGGGTTTTAAACAAAGAATTTATCGAGACCGGACACCCCACTGTGCAAGGGGTCAGCTTCGTGGATGAGACCGACAATACCTAATACACGCGAAAGGTCAACGGTCGCGACCATTTTCAAGCTCAAAGGGGTGTTCTGGGGCCACCAAAAGGCACCATTTTAACGCCCGAAAATACATATACAATACAAACAAAAGAACGTGCATCATCTGCAGTCCAATAGCAAAACATATACCGAGTCTCAAAAGAATCCGTCCACCCAAACGCGAGAAACAGCTGCGAACATGAAAATCTAAATCTCTCACAAAACCCCTCCGCGGAAGGATATCTCCTTCCCCGGAGGCAACAAGGGCATCAAATCTCACATCAAGTATCATAGATGTAGCCAATAACAATGCATGCACTTGTATACATCCAAACAAAATATATTTTTTGGGGGGCAAAAACATTTCCTCCAATCCCAACACTAATATTACCATCGGGCACCATCAAGATGCCAAAAACTCACCAAAATGCCCCTCCAAAAAAGCTTTTCAAAGTTTTGTACTAGCAAATTACAATTTTGGCGTCACTCACCAAGCAGTTTGTAGGCAAGCCCCAACTGTTGCATCACCCCTTGTTATTTATACATATTCTCAAAGCAACTGTTGTCTTATGTGTATTTATAATGAAATATTTTCTTCTGGTTCTTTTATTTTCTGGATACATGTACTTGTGTATGATTATTGCGTCTGTGTCTTGCATATCTGAACAAGAATTTGGAGATCTCATACCTCCATGAAATATATGTGTTTTTGTATTTTTATTTGTCTCATTGACTGATTGATTTATTGACTATGGAAATAAGGTCGTAATTAGCATAATCTAGTTTAATTTATGGTTTTCTAAATTCAAATGACAATATTCTTAGTGTAAAATTCCTCTCCTTTGTCATATTACTTCATTTCAACATGTCCTCATTGATTATGCAAATGACCTGTACATTAACATAATTTATGCAAAGTGGTGTTTTGGTAGGCTGTTTTGCAGTGAATCAAAGTTGCCTTCTTGCTGCTGTGGTGGTTTTCCTTCTCTTAATGGGAGGGATCACATATGGATTCATCACACAAGCCTATCTCAACAAGGAAGGCATGCAAAATGTAAGCCATCATTCAAATCTACACTTTAAGTTTTACATAACATTGTTTCATCCATTTATTCATATTTTTATTTAGGCCACACCAATTCAATTTGTTGTTTCTCAGATTTGCCCTGTCCATTTTTTTCTGATTTGCAAAAAGAAAAATTCTTTTTGTTCTAAATTCACTGCAAAATGCTCAATGAAAGACATATTTTGGACATAAATCTATTCTTTTACTTACAAACCAGCCACTTCATGGCTCATATTGCCTTGACCTGTTTTTTTATTATTATTATTTTTTTTTTATTTCGCCCTGTCGCTTCATATTTTTTCCGGAAAAATCCAAGAAAGAACAAATTAAATTGGTGGCCTAACATTGTTTCAATCATTTATTCATACATTTTTATTTATCAATCCAATCAGGTACCCTAGATTGGTACCAACCCAAGAAGCAAATCTTTTTTTTGCAGTAGGAGCACTGGTGCACCTAACCTAAAAATGTATATGCACAGTCATAACAAAGTTTGGGTGCACAATTGAGATAAAATGTGGAATGTCAGCAAAACCTAATTATGACCCAGCTTTACTGCCTTTCTTAACAGCTTAAATTTTTTAGCTTACTTCAAAATTTCAAACAAGTGATACAAGAAAGGTTTTAGTATTTTTCCTGACCCGTAAATGGTAAGAATATACCGTATCTTAAGTGTACAATAGGTACATCATAGGTTCTTACAACTTCTTGTTGCTGTTTTTTTCAGGCTAGCCCTATACAAGAAGTTAACAACTTCAGCACATTGAATGCAACGGAAGTGGCAAGCACAACTAAATACACTGTCATCCAAACCTTTGATGGTACCAACCCAAAAATTATTGGGACTGTCGATGGTACCAACTCATCCATCCTTGACACTGTCAACGGTACCAACCCACCCAGCCCTGGGACTATCAATGGTACCAACCCACCCACCCGTGGGACTATCAATGGTACCAACCCACCCATCCCTTGGGGTATTCATAGTACCAACCAACCCAATTACAAAACAAGTAAGTACAGATATACGCCTGCACACATTATATTCTAAGGCCACACCAATTTAATTTCTTGGTTAACGGATTCGCCCGCTTCATTTTTTTCTGATTTGCAAATAAAAATAAAAATTCAGAATCAACTGCAAAATTCATATTTTGCCCTTAACAGTTGAAAACAGTCCTTTTCTTCCTAGTTGTTACAGTTGTTCCATCTTTCAATGCAGCAGTGGTATCATTAAAAGTTCAAAATTCATTGTTTAAATTTTGAACCAGCCTGGACGTGGTGTGTTGACTTCATGGGTCCTATTGTACCATTTTGTGCCATAATAGGATGCCTAGGTGTTTTTATTTTTATTTTTCGCCCGCCCGCTCCATTATTTTTCTAGAAAAATCCGTTGACCAAGAAATTAAATTGGTGTGGCCTAAAGGTACATTTTGTAAGATGCTATCATTGATACAGAAAAAGTCTGTGAGGAGAATACCATACGGCTGGCTTGTGCAGCGGATGAGTTGATCGTGATTGACGAAGCCTTCTACGGTCGGAGGGAGAAAAACCCTCGCTGTGGATGTAGCTGGCTCCAGAAATGTGACACCAACTGTAAACAGAAAAACAACAAGTAAGAGCTCCGTTCCTAATCTAATCCTTAGATCCCACCCTCTCAAAGATCAGTCCTCTTATAAGCCTGGGTCACAACCCACCGTGCATGCTTTTTGTCTGTACGTTTTTTGGGAGGCTACGTCTGCTTTGTAACGTTTTTTGATCCACTACTGAAAACATACGAAGTTTACGGAATACATACGATCCATTATGCGGAAACATACAATCCTTGCTAATTTGGGGTCATTTAGTGACTTGCCGCCGCAATCACCGGTTCCACCAATTCCCAGCATTGCCCTGCTATATGGTCTAAAATACAGGCTACTACATGTATGTCGTGAAAGAAGCCCGCATAAGTGCAGTTTGGGGTTTAGCAGGGCAGGATAAGCCCTTAAAATTCTTTGAAACCAAGATATTGTAGGGAGAACAGTGCTATAATTGTCCGCCATCTTGAATTTGCTGCCGATGTCACGTGATCGTGGTGCAAGTCACCGAATTAGTAAGGATCGTATGTATTCCGCGTAATGGAATGTATTCCGTAAACTTCGTATTTTTCTAGTAATGGATCGTATGTATTCCGCGTAATGGATCATGTGTATTCCGTAAACTTCCTATGAGGGCCTGCAAGGGGGGCTCCCAACAACGCTCTACGCTGAATTTGGAAACCTCTCGATTACACTTTACGATAAATTCCAAGTGGCTACAACGCATTACGTAGAATTAAAACGCCGAATACGCTCTACGCAAAAATATTAGAGCAGTCCGTCTACGCTCTACGTAGAATTAAAACGGCCCATTACGCTCTACGGAAAAGGGCTTGCGGGCCCCCTCCTATGTTTTCTAGTACTAGTAAGGATCATGTGAATTCTGTAAAATTCTGATGAATTCTCTGACACCCCTGTAGAAGGACAGTACTAAAATATTTTGTCTCTTGACACTCAGCAAACAGTCCTTTGTAAGACAAAGATGCCAGGGCTTACAACGTTGTGATGTGCCAGTAGATAATGAGAACCTTGGTGACCCCTGTCCACACAACAGGAAATACCTGGAGGTAACATATCACTGCGAAGGTAGGCATCTTCTTTTCTGATAATTCATGTACCAGTCTGTGCCTTAACCCTTGTCCTGCTGGTATTTTTACACAATACTTCCTTTTAATAATCTTTTTTTGCCCTGCCGTGGCATAGTTATTATTAGTTCTGCATTGATTGTGTTTCGCAGTGCTGTGATGCATTGCACGAGAAATACCCCCAAATATAATGGGCTCTGCAGGACAAGTGCCTGGTACAGTGGTAAAGGTATAGATCTAGAACCTGAACCTACGCACGTTTGGCCAATTATTAGATGTCTTTTTTACTGTCTAAATGTCTTTTTAGTGGTATATTGTTTTAAATTTATGGCTTCACCACAAAGTGGTGAAGACATATTGCTTTCTCTCATGTTTTTCCTTCTTCTCCTCCTCCTGCTATTTTAACAGTTCTAAATAGAGCGCTCACTGTTTCTACCACCCTCCCGAGCAGGGTCAGTGGCGCGGCCCAAAAT